CAATCTTCCCCGGCCAGAGCGCGGGACAATCTTCCCCGGCCAGAGCGTGGGACAATCCTCCCCGGCCAGAGCGTGGGAGCGGCCACAGCGCTGAGAACCTCCCCGGAAACAGCGCTGCGAATCCTCCGAGGCCAGAGCGCGGGGGCGGCACAGCGCTGAGAATCCTCCCCGGCCAGAGCGCGGGACAATCCTCCCCGAGCCCCGAGCCCCGAGCCCCGTGGCGCCCTGCGCCTGGAGCCGGAGCCTAGGGCCGCGCCTGGGTCGGGCGGCGGGGCGGGGACTCCGCGAGGTCCTGGTCCGAAGCTGCCCGCAGGCTTAGGTGGTCCCGCGGGGTCCGCGCACTGCCAGGGACGACAAGGCGGTCACCAAGGAGCTGGTGGAGCCGCTGAGGGAGAACGGACTGCAGACGCTGTGCGAGAACAAGGCAAAGGGACCGAGGCTCGCTGTCCTGTGCCTGTGTGCCGAGAGGGGCACAGCGCTTCAGACCTGGTTTCCGGCTACAGCCTGGACCACGCATAGCCATCCTTGGTGTCACCATTCTCCTGGCTCTGTCCCCCTCTCTCCTTTCGATTTCCTGAGGACGCTTTTTAAGAGCATCTTCCCGTGGCCCTGCCCCTCCCTGCCCCGCGGACTTCTCTCCCTCGTCCCCCGCGGAGCTTCCCGGGTCTCTCAGATGATCAGGCTTCATCCCCGGTAGCCACAGCCTGTTCTGGTTCTGGCTGTGCAGCACCGGCTCCTCCGCCTGAGCCAGCAGCTCCCAGATGGAGTAGATGTTGGGTGACCGCGTTGGCAAGGCCGCCAGCGGGGCAGAGGGGAGCGTCTTCCTCTATTTCTCTTTTAAATTGTCAAATAGTTGGTGGCTTCAGAGCTTCCCGGTTCCTTAGGCAGGAGCCTGGTGTGAACCAGCAGCTAATTACAGGAACCTCATCCTGCACAGGACTGAGGTACATGGTCCAGACAGTCCTAAGTCTGCATTTAACCTGGCGTTAACGTCCAGTTAACCTTGGGCTGACTTGTGTTAACCTTTCTGTTTTGTTCTGTCTCGTTCTTCTTTACTTTTTTCTTTCTTTCCTTCTTTCTTTCTTTCTTTCTTTCTTCCTTCCTTTCTTTCTTCTTCTGAACCCCTCACTAGTGAGCAATCAGCCACATGGGGGGTTGGCCTGTCCCCTCCCCAAACTGCCTTCTCCTGGCTCTCTCACCCGGTACAGACCCCAGATCTGCTCCACGGTGAACAGGCGATCCTTCCAGTCAGGGACCCGGTGCCCTGCAGATCAGCCGCCTGTGCTGGGCTGAGGGAAGTGAGGGGTCTGTAACTGTGAGTCAGTGGCTAATGTCAGGCCTTATTAGGATGGATTGGATGGGCTTGGCTAACCACATGAATTTTCCTCAGTCAAAAAGCGGACGGTGTACTCTCTGCCCCTTTACCCAGAGAAAGCACCTGCCACAAAGCAAGAGAGCTTTTTCAACTCTTCTGCTAGGAAAACCTCACTTCCTCTTTGGGTTTGTGATTTAACCACAGAGACTAAAGATAGTCCATTGCACACTGAGTTGAGCTAGGGGTTCCTAGGAATGGGACTTCTGGGGCTGAGTTGGGCAGGCATGCCACAGTTCACCAGGGCGTGCCAATCTGGGAGGGCAGGAGGGACCCTGACTCATAGCTCCCTAGATCTTCTTGTTAGCTGGCTCTGCAGGATGTTGAGAGACTAAGCTGTTGATGTTGAGAGACTAAGCTGTTGATCCTCTCTTGCTTGGAAGCCATCCTTGAGGCCTGACTGCTTCATTAAGGGAGTGGCAGGGTCCTCAGCAAGTAGGCTGAGACAGCCATGGCCAAAGTCGGCCTGCCAGGTTCTGCATCTTGCCTGAATTCACTACACCGTGGCTCGAAGAACAAAGTGAAACTGTGAATGCTTTTTTACAACTAGCCACAAACCACATAAATGAATCTTGTTTTCAAAATGTCTAGAAATGTGTAAAGACTATAAAGAAAACCATATAGCCGAGCTTGCGGCTTGAAAATGTTCCACCTCTGACAATCAGGCCTTCCTGAGGCTACTCTGCAAGCCTCAAGATACTGGTTAAGAAGGTTTTGAAGTGAGACTTGAAACAGCAAAGGGCTGAAATGTGTAGGCATGTTTGGATTCTCCTGTGGACCTACATCTAATAGAAACCCATGCCCTCAAGGTTCAGGGAGAATGACAGGTCCAAGTGTAGGTACCAAGTCAGGGAAACACATTTAGGATCCATTCTTTGCTTTAAGCACAGGGATGCTTTCTTTCTTTCTTTCTTTCTTTCTTTCTTTCTTTCTTTCTTTCTTCCTTCCTTCCTTCCTTCCTTCCTTTCTTTCTTTTTCTTCCTTCCTTTCTTCTTATCTTCTTTCCTTCTTTCTTTCTTTTTCTTTTGTTTGTTACACACACACACACACCCCTGGGAGATTTCAAGCTGTGTGCAGGTACCACGGGACAAACTCATGCATCAAACTCAGGCCCCTGGATTCTGCATCTAGTCTCTGAATTTTCTAAACCATGACGTTGAAAGGTTGGTTTTCGGCAGGTTGTTTTGTTTTTCCTGGGGTGTCTGTTCAGCAGTTTTGGGGGTTTCTTTTCTCCTTGTGACTGGCAGAATATCTGTGGCTTCAGAACATGGACCTTTCCATGAATATTATTATTTCCATAGTAAGTGTTTGACATGCAAATGCTCTCCCCCCAACACAGACACACATTTTGAAGAAGTCTGGGCTTCCACAAAGCCAGGACTGCGCTGTACTTCTCTCTCCCCGGTGCAGTGGGAATAAAACCGTGCGCTCCCAGCAGCTCGCCTTCTGATCAGTGTTCAGGGTACTGAAGGAGGCTGAGATCTGGAAAACACACTGGGGGAGGGGCTGTCCAGTGCTGTCAGCACCCCCCTCCCAGATCTTCACCTTATTTTGGAAAATACACACTTTTTCCCTCTCTCCCTTCCCTCCCCTCCTCTCCTTCAGTCTGTTTCTGGAAACTAAATTTGAGATCTCAAGACTCACTTGCCAGAGGGACCCAGCTTTCTCCCCTCCCCACACCCCCATCACCACTAGCCTTGACCTCAATAGAGATGCAAGACTTTCTGGCCCTCTAAACTTTACTATGGTTTTGAAATGTTTCTTCTTCCCTGCATTGTTGCCAGTGCTACAGTGCCTTGAAGTCTGCTCAGCCCTAGCCCAAAAACTTCACAAATCCACCGCTGGGGAGGGCTAGAGCAGAGCCAAGGCAAAGAACAAAATCTCTCCTAGTTCCACAGATAAGCATTGCTCTCACCCCTCATCAAAGAAACTTCTTTTACACCGACCAGGATCATTACAGAAGGACAGAGAGTTGGAATGGAGATCAACTGGCCATGGGGTGCGCAACCCCAGCCACTATGTTCAAAGAACAGCTCTGCTCTGGGGGCTCAGGGTTCAAAAAGATTGTAAGAGCCAGACTGCCAGGATATCTGCTGTGAGACTCTTCTTAAAAAAAAAAAATTAAAATAAAATAATAAAAAAAGATTAAGTGGGCGCTGGCTTCGGCAGCACATGTGCTATAACCGGAAAGATACGGAGAAGGTTAGCATGGCTCCTGCCCAAGGATGACACGCGAATTCGTGAAGCCGTCCATATTCCTATGAGACCTGATAGACTAGGGTCTGAGGGAAGGACTTGGAGAGGAGCATGGGAGAAGAGGAAGAGAGGGTGGGGTTGGGAGGGGATGAGGAAGGGGGCTATAGCTGGGATACAAAGTGAATAAACTGTAATTAATAAAAATTAAAAAAAAATTTAAAGATTAAGTGGGGCGGAAAGGGAAGTCAGGCTGGGTCTGGGAGGTGGTGGAGAGGTGAGAGAGAGACAAATATACATTGTGTAAAACTCAAAGAAGCCTGGTGGTGGTCAGGCCTTTAACCCCAGTATGGGCAGGCTGACTGAGTGCTATCCTACAGGCTGACAGGTGGTTGATGTCTCCAGCTGCTGATCTTCAGGTGGTCTGTATGCAGCCACTCAGCACTACCTACTCCAGCGTCCATTCGTCCATTCGAGGACTGTCACACCTTTTTGTTTTCTCTAATGACATGAGGGCAGGAGGGCTGGGAAGGGACAGAAATGACCAAATAGTGAGAGTTCTCAGTAATAGAAATATCAAATTCCAGTATAGTATGTTATAGATTTTTCTGGATTTGGTGGGACAGCACCTAGGGTCTGTCTATGTAGCCTAGCCTGTTCCGGAATCTCTGTGTAGACCAGGCTGGCCTTTAAGTCACAGAGATGGTTCAACCTCAGCTTCCTGAGTGCTAGGAAGGACAAGCCAGCAGGGTGAGCTATACAGTTTTTAAAGATTTCCCCCACATGGTGCCTGGAGCCCAGAGTGGCCAGAAGAGGACTTTGGAGCCTTGAGCATTGAAGTTACAGGCAGTTGTGAGCCACCACTGGGAACCAAGCCTGAGTGCCCGGCAGAGCAGCCAGCGCTCCAAAGGGCAGAGCAGCCCTGCCTGCACCCATTGCATAGAGTTGTATAGACGCATCTGCACAGCCTGGCTATCTTCCTTTGTGTTTGTACTTACTCCAGAACTGCCTAAAAACCTCCTGCCTCTTAGCTTACTCAGGATGAAGAGAAGTGTGAGTCTTCCAAGGAAGAGCTGCACAGTCGTGGGAGTCATCTGTGGAGCAGTGAAAGCCCGGACTCTGGTGAGGGTGCCAGGGCCGAGTGGACATGTGGATCTTTAGCCACAGGAGTTTCTCCAGCTCTGGTTGGAGCACACAGGGACACAGGGTCCCCTCATGTGCCTCTCTGTACACTTCTGCCACTCACCTCTGCTTTCTCTTACAATTCGGACATGTCCAAGTCAATAAACCGTAGCAACAAAAGCTCTACACTTTGCAGCCTGCCGCCTTGCCTTCCGGGAGTGAGTGAAACCCTGGCCACCAGCCTCCCCACCTGGGACAAGACTCACCCTCTGTCCAGCGTCCACACTGTCCACACTGCACTGGCCTGGGAACTCAGGAGCCAACTCAGTTAAGAGATCCACTTCCCCTCATCATCTTGCCAGCCCACCTGTCAGTTCAGAGTGTGAGGGCAGTGAGTCCGGTACTATGAGAGACATCAGGAGTCTCATAAAGGTTAGTGTGGTCTGGTACGTTCTGTATAGCTCGTCACTAGTGTGACGCTAGTAATTAAAGTGTCTCACACAAGTGGGTGCGCTAGGTAAACACAGAACTGCTCTCTGGTGCTTGAGGGTCAGCTCCTCCAGCTTTACAGGAAGAAACCTACCTACGAGCTGAGCTCCCCAGCTCTGGTGATGGCTGAGCGGGAAAAGCACTTGCCAGCAACCCCGACCACTGACTTCCATCCCTGACATCACAGTGGAAGGAGAGAACCAGGTTCTGCAATGTGTCCTCTGACCTCCGAATCTGTGCTGTAGCCAGATGTCTGGGAAAACACACACAAAGACACGTGTGTGCGAGAGCCACACACCACACAGTGTGTGTTGTCCTAGGATTCCCTGGAGTGGTTTTTCTCCAGGGTCTGAGGGAGGGGAGGAGGAAGGAGTAGAGAGAAGATGAAGAGATAAGATTTGCCTGTGGGTCTCTCCTTAATTCCAGACCCAGGAGGACGGTACAACACACAGCTCTGTCCCACAGCACAGTTTCACTTCTGCTCCTAACCTGTGTCAGGTCCTTCTGCCGGGACACTGATGACGAGCGGGCGCTCCTCTCCCCCACTGGGTGGCGACATCCTGGGGAGCCAATCAGCGTCGCCGCGGGCACCGGTTATAAAGTCCACGCAGCCCGCGGGGCTCAGACTCCCGGGATCCAGATGGGGGCGATGGCGCCGCGCACGTTGCTCCTGCTGCTGGCGGCCGCCCTGGCCCCGACCCAGACCCGCGGGGGTGAGTGCGGGGTCGGAGGGAAACGGGCTCTGCAGGGAGGGCGGGGCGGCCCCGGGGAAGCCGCGTGTTCGCGAACCCGGACCCTCCGCCATCCCCACGCGCGTCCCGAGCCCCGCGCTGCTCCCCTCCCGGCCCGCGCACCCGCCCGGGGTCCCGGGAGGAGGTCGGGGTCTCACCGCGCGCCGCCCCCAGGCTCACACTCGCTGCGGTATTTCTACACCGCCGTGTCCCGGCCCGGCCTCGGGGAGCCCCGGTACATGGAAGTCGGCTACGTGGACGACACGGAGTTCGCGCGCTTCGACAGCGACGCGGAGACGCCGAGGATGGAGCCGCGCGCGCCGTGGGTGGAGCGGGAGGGGCCGGAGTATGGGGAGGAACACAGGGATTTTCAAGGAGCTCACATGGAATTTCAAAACGCGCCTGCAGAACCTAAACAACCAGAGCCTGGACGGTAAGTGAGCCCCGAGCGTCGGAGGTCACGGCCCATCACCGCCCCACGGACGGCCCGAACCTCTCCTGATCCCCAGAGGCTGCGGGATCCGCGGCGGTTGCCTCAGTTTTGCTGAAGGGTTGAGCGAACTGTTTCCTGCAGGTGGGCGGGGTCGGCGGGCGGGGCGCAGGCGTGACGGCGATGGGGGTGGGGCAGGTTCCCACCACCGGGTCCAGGTTGCGCTCCGCTGCCACGTGGGACCGGATAAGGACTACATCACCCCGAAGGAGGACCTGAGCTCCAGGACCGCGGCGGATGCTTTGGCCCTGATCGCTCAGCACATGTGGGAGGAGGCTGGTGTGGCCACGGAATGCAAGGCCTGCCTGCGGGACACGTGCTTGGCGATGCTGCACAGATTGCTGGAGAACTGGGAGAAGACGCGGCAACGCCCAGGTCAATAGTGGAACAGTCCACCGCGCTCTGCCCTGCTACTGAGGCTGTTCGCCCCTTTCGGGGAAGGCAAAGGTCAGCCAGAACACTGCCTCTGGCCTCCTGGAGAGAGAGAGCACTTCTGCTTCTCTTGAGCCAGTATCCTAGAGCGGCCCTCCCTACTGCTCACTCTCCTCTCAGGACAGTGCAGTCTGTTCCAGGAGGGAAAGAGGGGACATGCCTTCAAATAACCAACAGCAGCCCCGTCAGCGGGCAGGCCTCCTGGGCGGTGGCTTCTCTCAGGCTGGTTCTCCATACACCATCACTGGAATCAGGCTCCAGTGCCTCTCAGCCCCACCTCGCCAGGAGCAGAAGTCCCTTTCTCAACAGGTGGTGGAGGCTCTTTCCCCCAAAGTCTAGAGAGTCCAAACAAAAGACACTCCAGATGGCTGCTGGGGATTTTCACCCCTCTCTGCACCCAGCTGCCCTGTCTCTTTCTGGACCAAGCACATAAGCACCTGGAGTTTCCAGGGAGAATGGAAACAAAAAGCCTGTGGGGTCAGGGGGGCTGGAGCCTTGTGCAGACCCTGAGCAGGTCAGGGCTGAGAGCTGGGGTCATGACCCTCACCTTCCCTTCCTGCCCACCTCTTCCCAGAGCCTCCTCAGCCCACTGTCTCCATCCTAGCAGTCGTTGCTGTTGTTGCTGTTCTGGTTGTCCTTGGAGCTGTGGTCATCATTGGAGCTGTGGTGGCTGTTGTGAGGAAGAGGAGGAGAAACACAGGTAGGAAAGGGCAGGGTCTGGGTTTTCTCTCAGCACTTTTAGAAGTGTCCTCTGCTCACTAATGGAAACACATCCACACCCTCATTGCTACTGTCTCTAACTGGGTCTGCTGTCAGTTCTGGAAACTTCCTAGGGCCGGGGTCTTCCCTGGTCTCTCACGGCCTTTCTTCTCACAGGTGGAAAAGGAGGGGACTGTGCTCCAGCCCCAGATAAGTGGGAGGTGCAGGATTGTCCCTGAGGCCATTGATTGGGGTGAAGCTGGAGATGATGGGGAGCTTGGCCAGACCATAATAGCCCCTTCAGCCCCACCTGCCAGTCTCCTCAGTGTCTTATTTCTTCTTCAGGCAGAGGCAGCATCAGCAGTTCTGTCTCCTCTATGGACAGTTGAAAAGGTGATACCCTGGAGGCCTGGGATTGAGGCTGAGGTGAAGGGAAGAGGACTTGGCCCCAGGGCCTCTCAGATTTGGACCCATGAACAAATGGCGGGCCTTTGAGATGTGTGTGTGTTGAGTGCTCATGACTCTTGTTCTTTAGCTTCAGATGACTGCCTTGTGGCGACAAGTTTTGACTCACAAACACCAAACGTCTAATGCTGTCTGCTTTCTGCTGTGGGCACAGTGTGAAGAACTGGGGTTCCTGGCCCATGCCTGCTCCCCAGGACCCCGCCCCTGCACTGCCTGTGTTCCCTTGCACAGCCAGCCCTCCTGGTCCAGCAGCCAGGAGCTGCTCACTTCCCCACTGCAGATAAAGGTGTGACTGTGAACTTGATTGCTCGAACCTGTGACCTGAGGGGTTGATTGAGGGGTTGACTGAAGGAGAAAGAAGCTTGTGCAGTGGCAGTATCATAGCCACTGAGGTTTATCCGAGGCGTGATTATTGCTAATTGAAAACTTGACAGAATAAGTGGCAGCATGGAGAATCTTCCAGCATCTGCTGTACTGGATGTCGGGTGGGGCAGGAGAAGGTTGTGGGAGCTGAGGGTAGGGTCCTGCCCAGCAGGAGCTCGGTTCACAGGCAGTTTGATGTTGTCACTCCTCCTGTCTGTCCTCCTAGGAGGTGTTTTCCCATCCTTGTTCCCTGCACTCAAGACCCTGTGGGGTGAGGACATGAACTTGGTCTCCTGAGCTCCTGCTTCCTTCCAGGGACCTTGCCTGGACCTTCTTCTCTCCTTCCCCCTGAGCTGTCAGAATCTGGCTCCTGTCTGTAGGATCCACAGAGAGGTCTGGGCCTCAGCATGGATCCAGTCCTGTGCGGACTGTGTTCTGCTCTGCTCCATGCATGCTACAACACGTCAAACACCACACTCAGAAAACCTACATGGCAGTGTCGCCACTTTACGACCGGAAGTCTGGTCCTGAAGGCGAGCAGCTGGCTGGGAGCAGCTTCCAGTGACTTCATGTTGGGTTCTCTCACCAACACTTGCCCAAGTCATCACAGCTTTGACCTCTCAGCCTTCGGAGCTCCGGTGGAAGGTCATGTTAGGTGTGGAAGCCTCAGCTGCTGTCGTGAGCTAGGGGATGCAGGGGCTGGGGGATGTAAGTAAACAACCTGCCCTCTCTTTTTTTATTTTAAGATTGGTTGATTTATTATGTATGTAGTGTTCTGCCTGCATGTACACCTGCCGGCCAGAAGAGGGCAGCAGATCTCATTATAGATGGTTGTAGGCCACCATGTGGTTGCTGGGAATTGAACTCAGGAGCTTTGGAAGAACAGCCAGCGCTCTTAACCCCTGAGCCATCTCTCCAGCCCTCTTGATCTCTCCTTTTTAACAGACTTTTAACCTTAGAATCTCAGAGCTTGACTTTTGTACAAAATGTCACTGCAAAAATTGGGTTTTGAGACAGGGTCTCACTAGGGACCTCTTACTGCCCTGGAACCTACTGTGTGGACCATGCTGATCCACCTGCCTCTGCCTCCCAATGGGAGGTGAAGGTGGGTTAAAGGCATGAGCTGTTCCTAGTACTATACCTGCCTTCTCCTTTTAATTGCCCCATAGAGACAGTAGTAATTGCAGCGAGGTCTCTGCCAGTTAGGTTACTGGTGACATAAGTGATCAGTAAGGATCATAACCAAGGAATCTTGGCTATGAGGAGCCCACAGAGCTGTTCTCAGCATCAGTTCTTAACACACCTAAGTGTGTCATCAGCCTCACTGTGAGTTCTGCGCTGTCCTCAGTAAGTCTGCAATCATGTTCTCACCAGAGCTGTCACAAGAGCTTTTGTGAACTGTGAATTTTCTAAATAAATTTTGCACGTTATAACATGATTTTTATACAAATAATACTTAAATGTCAATATTTTACTACAGTTTCATAAAAAATACATTGTCATTAAAAAACTTTGATTCAAACAACTGAATTACCTTTAGTTACATACTATATTTTACAAACAAAGATTGGATTTGTATAAAGACAAAAAAAAAGACTTTTCAGTGACAAATATTAATTTTAAACCAACAGATGGGGGTAAAATAAAATGTGTCGCTGGTCTAATAGCAATTCCCTGAGCTTGGAAATAAATATGTATGTCAAATTTCTGGACTGTGTCTCCAGCCAAGAATTTTATCAACTCATATATGTTTGCAGCTTATATAAAGGAAAACAGGAGTGTGAAATTATTCTGAACAAGGGAGTTTTCACATTTTTGATGATGTTTGCCATATGGATAAATAATAAATGGATTAAGTTTAAAAACTTTATTATAAAGATGCAGTCAAGAAATGCTGACTTGGGAGCTGCAGAGATGGCTCAGGGATTAAGAACACTGACTGCTCTTCCAGAGGTCCCTGGTTCTCAGCACCCACATGGCAGCTCACAGCTGTCTGTAACTCTAAGAGCTGACGCCCTCACACAGATATGCAGGCTAAACACCAATGCACATAAAATTAAATAATAATAACAATAATAATGAACAAATACTGACTTGTACATTTCTTTGCTGTCCCAAGTTTTAGGTAATTTTTAAGTTAAACCTCTAAAAAAAAATAAGATAGCTAAAAGTTCATCTGACTTGCAGGATTTAGGGGTACCATCGGATTTTATATCCGTTTTCACAGATTGAGCTCTTTCTTGGCAGAGGTAGGATGAATTCCTCCTGTCTGGTGTTCAGGACCTGCTCTCTCCGTCCTCACCTGGAGGAGGTTGGTGGGATGGGCTGTGATCTGGGATATTCAGCACATCCATACCCAACCTCCACATGGCTGGCTCAGGGGAAGTCAGCTGCTGTGTCAAGAAGAGACAGGGGAGTCCTGGGGACACCCAGAAGGAACCTGAGCCCTTTTCAGCTGCCACAGGAAGAAGCCAAAGCTCACATGACCCAGCTCTGGTGAAGCCTTGAGGAAACACAGCAAGCTGAAAACTGAGCGTCCTGAGCTAGGATCACAAGTGTGAAGCAATCAGTCAGTGGCTGGTGTCTGCAGATGCTGAGCTTGGCTGCTGTCGCACACAGCAGCAGATGAGGGCGAAGCTCAATGCTTCCTCAGTCTTCCTATGGAGTGCTGGGACTCTGAAAACCCCAGCCTTCAAAGAGGAGGAACGGTTGGGCCTTTCCATCTGCCCTAAGCTATTATGAGGCAGTATTCCTATCATTCTATTTCAGTTTGAAGAATTAAATATCTCACAGCTAAATGGGTCGTGCTACCTGCTAGGTCCTGAGGAATGCCCCAGACTAACTGTGGTGCCTAAAGGTATCAGCGTGGACTCCAGGCATCAGTGTCTCACACCCATGACAACGGTGGTTCTCCGCCTGTGAACAGCCCTTTCATGGGGCTGCCTAAGGCCACGGAAAATGCAGCTGTTCACGTAACGAGCCAGAAGAGCGGCAGGGTCAGTTGTGAAGCAGCAACAGAAATGCATGGTCACCACCACACAAAGAGGCCTATTAAAGGGTGCAGCATCAGGAGGTTGAGAACCGCTCTGTCTCACAGTCCTGGCTCCTCTCACCCCCCCCCCTTATTGCCCTCCCACCCCTGAGCTGCCCCACCCCAGCCTGCTCCCCACAGTCTAGCACTGAGACTTTCCCAGCCCACTATGACCAAACCCCACCGGAGGAAGAAGGCAGCAGTGCGGGGGCTCTCTGTCACAGATCCCAAACACCAGCCTGGCTAGTCAGCTCCCCCATGGCCCATCTCCTGCTCTGGTCAGCGAAGGGGCTCTGAGGCTGTCCTGAGGGCCCCACACCAGCTGACTGTAATCTGAGGGCTTGTCCTCATCAGGTCCTTCTGAGCCCGGAAACGATGACTACCCCGGGGATTCCTTCACTGACCATAAAGGCAAAGAGTGGCAAAGAGTTCCGGGTCCACGGGAGGTTGCCCTCAGCTCTCCTCTGCTCCGTCCTGATGGCCAGCAAGGTCCGGGGACCGCACCGGGAATCCTGCCACAGTTCCCCACGAGCTTGGAGAACCCTGAGATGAGACCCAGCCTTGTGGGAGTCTCCACAGCTCGTGAGAAAGCTGCTCTGTGATGGCGCTCGCCTTTAATAATGCCACCACTCGGGATGCAGAGGCACGGGAAATCACCTGGTCCACAAAGCAAGCTCAGGTGGCTACACAGAGAAACTCTGTCTCCCAAAGAAGGGGGGGGGGGGGGGGACAGAGACAGACTGAGACAGGGAGACGGAGAGAGATAGAGAGAACTCATCTCTCTCCAGTGACTTCCCAGACCAGCTCTGGGAGAGTGCTGTGTCCTGGGTGGAGTACATCTCCACAGCGCTGAATAGGAGAAAGACATCAGTCTGCGGTCTCTCCTGGATTCCACACAGCCCTTGTCACTCTCTGGGGAGGTCCGGAGTTAGCACTCACTCCCAGGCTGTGGCTCTCAGGGAGAGGGAGGCGATAGAGGGATTCCCCTCTTCCTGAGCTGCACTTTGGAGTCCCCAAACTCTGTTGAGGTTGTTTCCTGAGATAAACATTATCCCTCTGGTTTACAGAGTTGCCCAAGACCCACCCGGACCCACAGGATGGGGGCAGCTGTGCCCGCGCGCTGCTCCTGCTGGCGGCCGCCCTGGCCCCGACCCAGACCCGCGCGGGTGAGTGCGGGGTCGGAGGGAAACGGGCCCCGGGGAAGCCGCGCGTCCGCGACCCCCGGACCCTCCGCCAACCCCACGCGCGTCCCGAGCCCCGCGCTGCTCCCCTCCCGGCCCGCGCCCCCGCCCGGGGTCCCGGGAGGAGGTCGGGGTCTCACCGCGCGCCGCCCCCAGGCTCACACTCGCTGCGGTATTTCGACACCGCCGTGTCCCGGCCCGGCCTCGGGGAGCCCC